AATTTGAGATAATCTTAAAACCAATTTTACAAATAAAAGTTTTAGTTAGATAATCACATAATAATAAATAATTATCATAATTTAAAAAGTATATAATAATAAAATAGTTGTAATTAATTTGTAATACTTCAAATCATACATATCGGTTGTGAATATAAAATATCTCATGACGAAATTTTGAAAATTTTGTGAATGGTCAATTTTTTCAAAAATATCTTGAATAAAGTTTTTTTTTTTTTATAGATTCCACCTAAACGTTATAGAATTTATAAAGTGTGTAAATAATAAATTTTTATGAAATAATAAAAATGATTTTTGTGAATAAATTTTTAGGAAATTAATTTTAAATATTGAAAAGACCATTTTATCAAAAGTAAAAATAACTACATTTAATTGGTATTATTCTTTGAACAAGCATTGTAAGGGTGTTAATACCTTTCTCACTCATAACTGTACTCCTAAACCAATCCTAATTTTGCTAACTAAAATATTTTGTGATAAATTTTAATTAATTTTAAGGCTTGTTTAAAAAGATAATTTTTTTTGTGGCCAATCAACCTAGCTAAAAGAAATATTTATGGTGAATCTGTAAATTATCTTCAAGTTTAAAAATTGAGTTCTTCCGGAAGAAAAATCGTTATGTCAATTCCTTAAATTACCTTTGATTAAATTCTTTGAAAAATTACAAAATATTATTAAACCCTACTTTTTCTAAAACATCTATACTCTTAAATGAACATTACTGGTAAAAATGTGTTTGAGGGAAATCAACTGCAAAATATTATTAGACCTTAATTTTTTAAAAAACTCCACACTCTTAAATGGATATTACTAGTAAAAATATGTTTGAGAAAAATCAACATTTTTTCTTTGGTCAAAATGTCAAACAAATTTAGGAAGAAGGAATCGATCCTTTCACTACTAGAATGGTTATCCTCAGTTTTCAATCATGAGGATCAATCACTAAAGCAATAGGATCGATCCCAAAATCAATCCCTTATTTCTAGATTGGTTTTCCATGGTTTTCCAAACATGAAGATCAACCCTCCAAGTCAAAATGCTCTTTTATTTTTCAAGTTCAAATGACTATATTTTTAAATCTGAAAGCATAAGGATCGATTCCTTAAAGTAGAGGACCAATTCTCTCTAAGGATAGCAAATTGACTCGAAACTATCAAGTTTCTGCTCGATCCGTTCTTATAGGGACAGTTTTTTAAAATCAGATTTCTAGTTAGGTCAGATTAGTTTTGCTTTAAAAGAAATAGGAGTTGAATTTAAGTAAAAGTTGCCCTAACCCAACTTGACATATTTACAAAGATACCCTTATTATATATAATATTATTTAGGGTTTGTAATAGGTTCACTTTATTATTTTTCTTTAGCCTCCCTTTTTCTCAAGTTCCTTATCTTCTTTTTCCCCAAACCCATACCAAGATCCCAACAAGCAACCATCAATTTTTTTTTTTATTTTCTATAATTCTTTCCATCTTTTTCCCAAATCCATCTAAAATCCCCAACAAACACCCACCCTTCCATTTTTTTCTTTTTCTTTTGTTAAAATGGAATTACATTTCCATTGTTGGCTTTTTACATTTTTTTACTAGGAAACTTTTCAACTGTAACAATCTCTTTTACAAGAGTATTATTTCTCGAACCTAAGTCCCCAAGTCTAAGGTACTTGTAACTGCAACTACATGTTTTTCTCCTTATTTTTTTTCCTTGAATTTTTTAAAATTGTAATTTTTTTTTGTGAAAGAATATTTTCATGGTTATTTTATTTCATATATTTTGTTCTATAACTAAATTTGTTTTAAGATGTATGGGTGAATAATACTTGTTAAAGTCAAGTAGAGGAAAACTTTGATTTTTTTTAAAAGAAAAAATTTGTGATTTTGAATTGTTCTTTTAGTTTGGTATTGAGTATTGATATAGATTAACTTGTTCTTAGAATGTAGCGAATAAAAGATAAAATTAGATTGTGAAAGTCTTTAGATAGTTTGAATAGTTTGTATCGTTGTTGTAATTGTTTTTTGTTGGTTTTGATTCTTGCATTCGAGTTGGAGTGGGGTAAAGTCGAGTGGCTTGTTTGCTTTTGAAGTTGGAGTTTAAATTTCAAACTTTGACCAAAGATGTCGAGGATCAAGTGAAGATACATGAAGGTTAGGTTGGAGGTAGGGCAAGCAAAAATTCGTCCCACCTCAACCCTTTACCATCCTTATTTTTCTCGCATAGGAAAATTCAAATAAAGACAAAAATTAAAGGGAATAATGATTATTTTTCAAATCCAATAACTCACAACAACTAGAAATCAAAATCTTATATAAAAGAAAGCCTCCAACACATTCAAGAGCAAGAGATTACACATTCAAAGCATCACAAGTCAAGATTTTCCATTTCTAAAGCATTCATAGTATAAAAGCCAAATTTTGTATTATCCAAGCAAAAATTCTTATTTTATAATTTCTTTATCTTTATACTTATTTCTAGAAAACACCCGTCTATTAATGTTTTATTTTATTTGCAAAATCCTTTTTCGTTTAAAAGGGAATAATGAGTAAGAAGTGAAGTATCCTCTTGAAAGCTTTGTAGTAAGGATTGGGTAGAATCCTACAAAATGGTAAAAGTTGCTATCTTGACCTTAAAATATAAGGATTGTAATTTGTAAGAGAATTTTTCACTAGTGAATTATGTTTGGCTAGGATAGCTAAGGGAGAGGATGTAAGTTTTCTTAAAGAAGGACTGACTCTCTATAAATTATTGTGTTTGATTTTCCTATCTTTTTTCTTTTAATATTTCAACTTATTTATTTGTGCTTTAATTTCATAATTCTCTAATATTTTTAATTTTTTATTTACATTTATTTGAAATTTTTTTTTGAAAAAGAATTTGGAGACAATCTAATTCATCACCCTCTTGAATTGTTATTTACACTTGAGCTATCGATAAGCTTAAAATTTATCTATCAGTCTTCCAAACTCTAGCTAGTGTACATATATATGCCACACATACATTCAATTGAATTAAAGTTAATTTTCATCCATATCTTGCTGTTTTTTCAAAATTGTTGTTTTTCTAAAAATACAACCAACAATATCATATAAGACTATTTGTTCTCCCTTATACCATTTTCTTCTTTTCTTTTACATGAACTCTCCTTTTTCTCACATTTCTTTTTGGTTTGTTTTTTTCTCCGATTCTCTCTCGACCTTTTTACTTGGTAATTTTTTTGACCAAAATTTTCTTGGTAATTTACAAACAATCTTGTATAACGTCTAAAAGCAAAAAAACAAGTCTTGCTCTAAAATATTCATGATAGGGCACACATCAATCGATTGATGCGAAAAAGCTATCACATTCATAAAGATAAAATCTAAATTTTAGAAAATATATTTTATTAGAAATTTAAATAAAGATAGTAATTAAATATATTCATATCTTATATAGGTCAACTCATATTTGGATTTCAAAGTCCAATGAACAAATGAATTTCAGACCAAAAATTGAATATTAATTAGACTTGATAAAGTTTGATTACAAATACAAGAGTTGAATTCCACAAAATTAAAACAAACTCAAGTTAAATCTGAAAACTTTTAAAAGAAATTGATTAATATTCAAGCACAATTTAGTTCATATGATCTTGAAAAATACTAAACGAACCTAAATAAAATAAGGTGTCCAAACATTAATGATCATGAATTATAAAAAATAATTATACTTAAATTTATAAATTTAATTGTATACATACTTATTAGTAACCATTTAAAAGGTATGAATTAATTTTATTCTCAATTGAATCTTAATTTTACTAATGATATTTAAATTAAATTATAATATTATATGGTTAACTTTTGGATTTTTTTGATTTATTTGTATGCCAAGAGACAAAAATTTGTATTAAAAAAGAAAAAAAAGGAAAAAAAGAGTACAAACATTTGTAATGAGCTTATTGAGGTGAAAATTTAATTTGGCATTAAAGAAAGTTTGATGTTGAAGCAAGCTTGGTGTGTGGTAGCTACTAGTTCGCTTAACAAGAATAAGAATAGTGTGATATATTATATTATGTATCCCTCCAATCCTTATTCCTATTCCTTGCATGCGTGCATTATAAACATATATAAAGAGATGTTGGATACAAGGCCTCTCTATTAGGCATCTGAACAGCATAAAATATAGGTCAAAATTGAAGAAAATTATAGTTAACATATGTTTAATTAATTTTTTAACTCACTGCCACGCACAAAAGTATATAGAAGAAGAAAATTGTTAAACGTAAACGTTATCCAAACAAATGAAGCTGTTTTTCTGTGATTGCCGCATACAGTTTGTTGAACCATGAAAACAACATGATCCAACTGCCAAACCCATGCAGCTCAGATAATTTAAACGCAAGGATATATAGAGATGTTAGAGAATGCTAGCTACAACATAAGAATGGCTGTTAGCTAGCAATAGCATTAGCAACCATTCTCAATGCATATATGATTTCCTATGGTACTTGCATCATTTTTTCTTTTTATGTTGTTTAATTTTCTGGATTTCTTCATTTGATTGATGAATAGTGGCTCCAAAAGCTTTTACCGACGGAAAATGAGACTTTAATGTGCCCATAATTCCATTGGTAATGAGCTATTCCCAAAATATTTTCTTATTTCTTAAGTCTTTGTATTTAACATAAGCAGGTAGATATTAATTATTTTCTTCTTCAATAGTGTCTCCAAGCAAGAGAAGTTTGTTATTTTTGGGGTATCTACACTTTAGGTTTTCTATATATGGTTAACTCAACAGTGCACATCCCCTCACATGACATGCTTGAATTTTCTGACCATTTGCAAATTTCAAAAATCATCGGCTTCAATGGTATATGGGGAATTCAAAGCTAGCTTTAACAAACTACCGGTTGTTTCCATCCAATTCTAAAAATATCATAATTATAAAATTTTACTATAAAATGGGTTTTATTTCCGTTTAATCCTCTTTCTATAGCATGTGCTGTTATATATATATATATATATATATATATAGCTCATGTTTTTATGTCAAAGCTAGCTATGGCTTCACCATTAAAATAGCCTTAAGTTTCTTCTTCCTTTGTGTTTTATTCAAGGGTTTTATCAAAGATCACAGTCAATAAGGTGCTTCAACCTGAAAAAAATCTGACTTCACCGCAGCAGCAAAGTCTTTCATATGCCTGGAGCCCCGCGGCAACTGGACAACGAGCCCAAGAAAATGCGGGGAAAGGCAGTTTCAGGGAAAGCCATTTTCGTATTATGTCTTACTAGCTTTCTTGCAGGATCACTCTTTACTAGCCGAACGTGGACTAGTCACACTGGTACTTCTCATAACAAAAATCATCCAACTGGTCCACCCATTCCAAAGCTTGCTAGCAATAAGTTGGGAGAAGTAGCCCGTGGCTTTGATCACAAACGTGTAAGTTTCAGCTCAACTAAACTTTAGAACTCAATTCAGATCTTAGAATTTCTTGTAACTCCATTGATTACAGAGAATGGCTCAAGGAAAGGCAGATGATATCATGGGAGAGGTCTCAAAAACTCACCAGGCTATCCAGTGAGCTTATTTTTGTATAAAACCTCCTGCTGCTTTTCCGTAAATGCAATCTAATTATGTTTATGTGCCAACAACTGTACATAGGTCTCTTGAAAAATCAATTTTAAGCTTGGAAATGGAACTGGCGGTGGCTCGTATAAGTCAAAATACTGTTGGACGACATTCCATGGAAAAGACATCATCTAATCACACATTGCAGAAGGCTTTTGTGGTTATAGGAATTAATACAGCATTTAGCAGCAGGAAAAGAAGAGACTCCGTTAGAGAAACATGGATGCCTACAGGTCTAACATCGACCTCCTTCCTATATATTTATTTGATCCATTACTTTACCTTCAAAGAGATAACAGGCGGTTAATTACAGGAGAAAAACTGAAGAAATTGGAGAAAGAAAAAGGAATTGTTATAAGGTTTGTAATAGGGCACAGTGCAACGGCAGGTGGGGTACTTGATAAGGCTCTGGACAAAGAAGAGGCAGAGTACAAGGACTTTCTAAGGCTGAAACATGTGGAGGGCTACCATCAACTGTCCACCAAGACCAGACTCTATTTCTCTACTGCTGTTTCCATATGGGATGCGGAATTCTATGTCAAGGTGGATGATGATGTCCATCTGAATTTGGGTAACTACCATTTCTCTCTTTAATTTAATCGCTTTCCATCAGTTATGCAATATTTGTTGGTTTTTTTTTTTTTTGGCCAAAACATAAAAGAATTCAATGTTCATTTGTTCGTTGAGGTACGCTGGCCAGCACGCTTGCAAAGTATCGATCCAAGCCCAGAATCTACATAGGATGCATGAAATCTGGACCAGTTCTGTCGCAGAAGTAAGTTATTGATATGAATTCCACTAAAAATATTTTAAAAAAAAAAATCTGATTTTAGAATGAATTTGTGAAATATTTGAATGGCAGAGGGATGAAATACCACGAGCCAGAGTACTGGAAATTTGGAGATTCTGGAAACAGGTATTTCAGACATGCCACTGGACAAATATATGGGATCTCCAAGGATCTGGCTGCCTATATTTCCATCAACTCGTGAGTGCACCTGTCTTTGTTTTTTTTTTTTTTTAAATTAAGAAGTATGATAATTGAGAATTGAAATGAAACATCTTTTGTTGGATGCTGCATGGCACTGGCAGGCCCATTCTGCATAGATACGCCAATGAGGACGTTTCTTTGGGGTCATGGTTCATTGGCTTAGAAGTTGAACACGTCGACGACCGTTCCATGTGCTGTGGGACCCCTCCAGGTATGCAAATTTCTTCCCCCTTGGATCCTTTGATACGATGCAAGTGCAACCCTGGACGTTGGGCTTAAAAGAATGCCTGCTGATGTTGTGTTTTTTGAGTCAGACTGCGAATGGAAGACACAAGCAGGGAATATATGTGTGGCATCGTTTGATTGGTCGTGCAGTGGAGTATGCAAGTCGGCTGAGAGAATGAAATATGTGCATGACTCTTGTGGAGAAGGAGATGGTGCAATTTGGAAAGCTGATATCTAAGCTTGGCACTATATGAAATGTATTTCTTGAAGATATATATATATATAGAAACAAGCCAATTAGGGTCTAGCTAGAGAGTTTGATACATATATATATATATATATATATATATATTGCTTTTGCCTATTTCTATCCTGATGATCTTATCAATTATCACACTTTTGTTGACAATATATAAAAGAATAAAGTCAGAAGTATTGGTTTATCCAGAAAAAGAGAGGTTCATACACAAATGAAAATGGTACTCTATGATATATCTACCGTAAACATGATCACTGTATAAAACCAAAGATAGGAAAACGCGGTCACACGTTTCACTAAATTAAGTCTCCAATGGTTGTATATAATATATAGCCTATATATAGCCTAGTTCATTTCTCTTGATAACAAGGAGATAAGTCATCTAGAAGATAACACTCTGAAGGTTCTAAGAAAAGAAAACAAAAAACTAATGAAAAGGAAGAAATTGGATAATCTATTTGGGTTCAACTTTTGCAGAGAGTGTGTATCCACCACTGTAGTCGAAAGCATCGCTATCATTTACATCCTTTTTAGGTAAAGCATCACCATAAGGATGTCTAAGAGAACCTTTTGCAGCTCCAAAATCAGTGGCAGATGACGAGGCAGAAGTAGTTGAGTTTGTGTTCATCCCATCATTTTGCAAAATGGTTTCAATGGCCTTTACCACCTCGCTCATTGTTGGACGGTCTGTAGCTGAATCTTCAACACATTGCATTGCCAACTCCAAGAATTTACCAAATCCTAGAAGATTTCCTGTGCTTCTGATGCTTGGATCCATTAACTCCCTCAAGCCATGATACTCTTCATCCTTCTTATCCATCATTGTTCGCACTTCACGCACAATATACTTACATTTCTCGATAGGTTGCTTAGCTGTTATAAGTTCAAGCATTACCACACCAAAACTGTAAACATCACTCTTCTCAGTTAATTGTTGGGTCATGTAATATTCAGGATCTAGATAACCCTGCAACAAAATATATATCATTTAAGAATTAGAGAAATAAAATTCCACATATTTCGAAACTCTGAGTGGATTCATATTGAAGAATATTATTGATTTCTAAATACAGAAGAACAAATCTGATGCACCATTTTTTGAACGGCCAGCCAAGAACAAATTATTATTAAATGGGAATCAACAAGAGAAACGATATAGTTAATAAAGTTTGGAAATATTAACGGAACCTGTTTGATTATCTCTTTATATATATATATATATATATAAATAATTTAACATGTTTGATTATCATATCATACTAGCTAGGATGAAGCATATATAAAATTGCAGCAATATGTCATACTAATTAAGATTCCAATAAAACTGTGATCCTTTTTTGAGTTTCCATTTATGTCCCTTTTTGTCATCTCTTCTTCTCTTGATATGGATATAATCGGAGTATGTTTAAAGGTACTCACTAATGTGCCTTTAACTTGGGTTGAAACATGGCCCTTTGAACTGTCTGATACCAGCTTCGACAATCCAAAGTCTGCAACCTTTGCTGTTAAATTTTCATCCAGCAAAATATTGGTGGACTTAATATCTCTGTGGATAATTGGAGGATTTGCAAGCTCATGTAGGTAAGCTAGCCCTCTTGCCGAGCCAAGGGCTATCCGGAGCCTCCTTTTCCAGTCAAGGTAAATGCCAGATCTCCCTACAACACGTCTTTCCATGTCAGATATCAAAAGAGGTGGCCGTGAAGCTACTGCATCATTAATTAGTGCACTTCCCATGGAGTTCCCATAAGGCACATAAATGAATCTCTAGATTAAAATTTAAAACAAGAAATACTGGAAGACTGATCTATAAAGGTGCAGATGATAGCCTGTTGCTAAGATAAACATCAAATTTTCAATGCTAAAGTCAGGTTGTCTTTCCCTTGATTAAGGCATCAATTTTATGGACCAAGTTAAATTTTCTAATCATGTCACATTTTACAACTGCCGCATAAGGTAAACTTACCTGACAGGCTCTCCCGAAGTGTTCCATTGGCCATAAATTCGTAAACCAGCATTTGTTCTCCTTGTTCAAAACAAAACCCAACAAGACCAACAAGGTTTTTGTGATGAACTCTTGAAAGCAATTCAATTTCAGTCTTGAATTCAAGCCCACCCTGCATTGATCCATGCTGAGCTCTTTTAATTGCCACTGCTTGTCCATCAGAGAGCATTCCTCTGTATACCTGCAGAGGACATGAAGGCTATCTCAGCAATTGCAAACAGTAATCCATAAATCTCTTATCACAAACTTGGACATTTACCTTTCCATACCCCCCAAATCCTAGTTCATTACTTTCAGAAAAATTACTGGTGCACTTCCTAAGTTCATCATAAGAAAACCACCTTGCTCCTTTCAACTGTGGTGCACCACCACTGTCTTTGCCACTTGGTGCCCAGGATGCTGGAAGATATAGAAGATCAATGCAGAAGTAAACAATTTTACAATGCCACATACCTGTTCCTGCCCCAAACAGCTAAATTGGCAGGAAAAATAGTGATTTCAAGTATTACTTACCAAATGGTCTACTCAACCCAATAGCTTTTTCTGCACGTTTCTTTTGCCAAACAGCATATATTCCAATTCCAAAGAGGCTTAGAACTAATACGACTGCACCAATTGCTACAGCAATGATTACTCCAGTGCTAACGGAAGTTCCATGTAAGGCTGATGCATATTTTTTATTTGAAATGTCAATCCATCTCTTATAGGGTAAGATCAAAGTTATAGTCTTAATAGTAAAGTTAAAGTTACCTGGGAAAGTATAGGGAGAAGCAATAAAATAGTAGGGTCCAAACTCGGGTGGAGGCTTGTAGGTTTGATTACTTAAATCAAATCCAATTCTCTGAACTTCGGATCTATTGAAGTATTTCCCATTTGATGGAAAGAGTGCCAGCTGGATCTGAAGGTAGTCATCAACATTGAAGAATGGATTCTGAAGAAAAACTGAACCAGGCGTTAGCCCCAATTTGACCCAAAGGCTCATTTCTAATGAATGGAACACATTCACATTGGACAGTTCCCTGAACATTGGTCCTCTGAAATACAATGTTCCTTCAAATGGATAGGCACATTCACAACTTTGAGGGCTAGGCTTCTGATCAATGGGACATGATTTACTTCCACAATTAGCTAGGCTGGTGGAATAGGGTTTTGTATTTAGTTGCTGAATCTGACAGTAATTAGTATTTGAGAGAGCAGCTGTGCAGACGGGATTGCCTATAAGTCTGAATCAAATAACATTGACAAATAAATACGGTGGGGAGAAAATTATCTCAAGCTGACCAAAATTAACACCCATGAAATGTCTTACATTATCGTATTTGTGTATCCAGATCCTAGAGTTATTGAGGAAATCTGATTGTTCTGCAAATCAACAAGTCGAAGTTGAGTGCCAACAGTGTCACCCAAGTTCAATGTGCCATTAAAGGCATTGTTTCGAAGTTTCCTGTCAAAAGATCAAGATAATCTGAATTGAACCATGCACCTTCTCTTTTCTTAAACGATAAGCTTTTAAAATAGCAACTCTGGATTCGAGTCAATACTTACACTTGCTGTATCTGTGGGAAGCTAAAAAGCTTTTGTGGTACAGGCCCTTGAAGTGATCCGTGTTCAATAACACTGCACATTGTGAAATTTTGCATGAGTTTTCACAACAGTTGAAGGAAGACTCAGATTGTTTTTTGTTGACTAATTACGCACAGAGTGGTGAGTGATGATAAGGTTGAGAACCAAACTGGAGCTTCTGTTGGGTCAAATGAATTGTTACTAAGATCCCTGTAAAATTAGATGGATCAGGATTCATTACTATGGAAACACATAAACCATCATACCTGAAGAATGAAACTCCCATTCCATTGACTTACAAATAATTGAGGGTATTCATTGAGGTTAAGTCTGGTAGAGGGCCAGTAAGATTATTGTGTGCTAAATTCCTGAAGGCACGCAAAATGTGAGTCAGGAAGTAAGTTGATTACCCACAATATAATCAAAATGAAAAGGTGAAAAATAAATACCCACAATTCATTGATGTTTGTAAGGTTGTTCAGATTTGCAGGGACCTCTCCTGTCAAAGCGTTTCTATCAAGCCGACTGTTTTGGATTGGAAAGGTGTGCATTGCCATTAATGTTAAGGGACGAAAATTGATGAAGCAAAGTAAAGCCGCAAAGGAAAGAAAATTATGTTTAGGGATTCTTCACTCACAGAACCTCAAGAGTCTGAACCTGTCCTAATGTGGACGGGATGTTCCCAGTAAATTGATTACCATCAAATAGACTGTCATTGCAAAACTACAAACCATTAGGAGGAGTTCTGCCGTACAAACTAAATTGATGGATGAATGGTTACCAACTTACATGTGTATTAGTACCATCTCAGAGCTGAAAAGTTTTGGGGGAATGGTACCTGAAAGCTTATTTTTATTGAAATGGCTGCAAGTTCACAAAAATGATGCTCTTATTTGGTCAATACTAAGTGATCTGAACACAACCAAATAACAATCAGGTACTTTCATCCTTACCTTCCACAATGAAGGTAGGTTGGAAAAATAAACTTACAAGTGTTTAGCCTTTAAAAGGAGGTCCAATCCTGGGGAGTTGGGTGTTGAAACTGGGATAGTTCCGATCAGTTGATTGTCAGCCAGATCTAGCCAGTAGAGCTTAGAGAGCTTTCCCAAAGAGGGAGGAATTCTACCAGTGAAATTATTTGAATTCAGGGCCCTGCAAATAAGGGTAGTTTTGAAATGAAAAGGCATAAGGGGTTCGAATTTACTATGGCACTGTATATATAGTTTTAGTGGTACTATGGCAATTCTTACAAGAAGGATAACTCTGCAAGATTTCCAAGCTCCTGTGGAATATTACCAGTGAAGCCACAGCCAGCAAGGATTCTGAAAAATAGAATACCAAAAGGAAAGTAAGAAGAAGATACACATTCATATCATAGGGGCACAGTTGGAGCAGAAACTTGGATTCATCAAATCAGTAAAGTGGCAATCTTACAGGATATTCAGCTTTTCCAAATCCCCCAG